AGCCATTATTTACAGAGAATTTCTTCACGAATATCGTCATACTCGTGCCTAAATTTGTCTATATCAAGCTTAGTATTCATGAACTTAATTATATAGGGATATAAAAATACTTCGTTCTATCTGAATGTCAGAACTGGAAGGGAATCGTATATCTGATTACAAGAGTTCAATCAGTGCGTTTAGAAAACTAATTACCGGTACAGAAACAAACAAAAGATGGTGCAGTGAGTACATTTTGTGCTACCTTAGTAAGTATAGTTGACAATTTATTGAAGAATATATTTTATGGAGCAGAGATATGCTATATATAAAAAACAATTATCAAATTAAACATTAAAGTTTACCAGTTTTGTTGCTCAGCTGTGCTGAAATCATGTAACTTATTTGAATCTCTCGCTGGCTGTTCGTGTTGCCATGACTACCAGCCCCAACAAGCACGTGTGTCATATTAGGAACCTTATATGATCGTAACGCTAGTTGGGCTAAATCCCCAGAACTTCCGGTTGGGGGATCAAGCTCTTCACATAAGCACATTGAACAATTGTGTCGTCATCATAACTATTGCCATATTGACTTAACTACGGCAACTGATTTTACCCATGCGACCAGTGCAGACAAAAAATGATACGTCTTTTTCGTCTGATCATGGTCTGCACTGATCACTACGCGTAGTAATTGTCTCCAAAATGGTGAATCGTTTTATTCATATTTTGGAAAAGATGGACAAGCCCATTTTAGATAATTAGCAGCGGGATATGGGTGAAATGTGCATTCTCCGGTAAATATATATAGCCTGATTCACCCATGTTTTTTGTTTTTGTTTTGTTTTTGCTTGCAAATTTCCTTTCATTGAAGAAGTGATAGTTTCGTACATTTTTTACAGACAGTGGTCGTAGCATTACAAAAGGAAAGAACTCTGAATATACTGGTAAAATTTTAAAATACCCGAAGTTATGTGAAATGTGATCATCTTTTATATTTACATAGTAAATTATAAAGTAATTATTTCTGAAATCATCTTAATTAAAAAGGTAACATACATTACAATATATGGTAAAAAATCCCATTAACTGGGAAAAAGACCGCTTACTTGAAAAATTAATTATTACAGAACTTTTAATCTATGACTCAGCTATTAATGAAAATGAGTGTATAAAATTATGTAACAGTACGACTTTGCGCTGTTAGTAATTAAGTAATATTGACATGGCATTAAAATTGTATCATCTTTGCGGAAAATTCAATCTAAGAACTGATATTTCATATGAATACAGAATAAAACCTACGCTCAAATATGATCAATACAGGAAAACATTGGCCTTTAAAAGATTATGACAAAATAATGAAAATGCCAATACCATAGAGACATATCAAGTAAGATCTCAGACAATTAGAGTTTTTTATTGTAATAAATTCATAATATGAGGGTGTATCTTATAAAATCTAAATGACAAGGATTTCTAAAAAAAATTAAGAATATAACTATTAAAAAATTCACTGAAAATAATGCAATATAAATCTATGATAAAATATGCAAATTTGGAAATGCATCTTTAAGCAAGTCAAATATAGGCATACAACTTATATCTCATATACATCAGCTATTAAACTAGCAATTGTCTTCCCAAATGGATGCAGTATTCTGCTCAGTGATTAGAAGTCAATGAATTATGCAAATAATCTAATAAGGAAATCTTATAAGCACGGAATGACCTAGTAATTTCTGAAACGTTACGCCTGTCATATTGACGTCATTGCGTATTCCCTGCACACAAGTTTCATGACTTGGTGATGAATTTAATCATATATTTCGTTTATGAGAGAGTCGTAATCCAATATAAGCTATCACGTTTTAATAGGAAAATGGGCGGAGCTAATTAATAAGAATTGAACTGTTCATGAACCTCTCAGGTGTCACGTAACTTATTAACCATTCATTTGTTTAAACAGATAGATCATGTAATCCTGTAATCTGTAGGGCAACCATGATTTTATAACTTTATTATAATGGATTTAGAACATGTGAGGTGGAAAAAAGGTCTGAGAGTGTAATAATTTGTAAAAATTGTGGCAAAATGTAACAAAGAGTTGTTTTTTTTTACTTCTGTACTAAACGAGCTAAATTACCAAAAATGTACGTATTGCAAAAACGCAAAAGAAGCAGATGATGGCTTAGTTAAGTAACATTTTGGAAACTGTAACAGGACATCAATAATTAAAACAAATAAAATAGCAAAAACTACATGTGAATAGCAATTATTACGCACAAAGGTCTTTTAATATTTGACCAATCTTTTTTCATATATATTACTTCCGGTGTTTTAAACATTGTTGCTTAATTGGTACATGTACACGTATAGTGTAAAACAGCAACATTAGCATCTACTGATAAAATGCATGCTTTTCTGTCATATTTCGCAGTAAAATGCTAATTATAGTTGTTATGCGTTATAATGTCATCAATATCAGTGCAGAACTTTGCATAAAAATGTCATAGAGTCGGACCGGGAAGGGTCTTAAAGACGGGTTACTGCAACCTCCTGGCAAAACAAAAGACTAGGTATGTCTTCTGATGGAAAACTGCTGACGGCTTGTTTGGCGTAAACAATTTTTTCCGCTTGCACAATGGATTGCAAATACAATGTAATTTTTATCATGTGCCCATGCAAACATTATCGGGAATATATGCTTTGGAAGAGTAATGGTCCTTTGTTTTTACATGGATGCCATGGATAGTTGTATTAATATGTGAGCAGGGCTTAAACTGTGTCCAACAAAATCAAAATTTGTGGCATGAATTTGTGTTACTTGTATTCAGGTATCTCACAACTGGCTGTCACGATTTGCAATTTTCATTACATAAGTCTTACCAGGCTGCTAAAATCTAAATTTTTTATAATCCCTTCAACCAAAAATGGGCGGACCAAATTTTAGCATGGGTAATGTTATGTCTCTACTAAAAATGCCAAAGAAAATTGCAAAATGACAATAATTTATTTTAATGAGCATCCATAATATAGTGTAAGAGTGTAATGTTTCATAAAATAAAAAAATGACAAGAATCACAATTAGCTGTAGTATGTTTACTGTAGTTTTAACCTTTCGTATATGTTGTCACTGACACTATATTTGTAGTACAAAAATCATTATAATATTGTGGTGAAATTTGTAGGACTGGTCAACTAGGTGTCTGTATGATGTGAATGGTGGGTGGGGTATATTGTCAGATGGTGTACATTTTCTCTCAACCAATGTGGTGGTAACGTGACTGCAGTATCATACTAGTATATCAGTGAAGATTTGGTATTATGCTCAACAAAGTAAACAATGTCACATCACTAGAAAAAATATCGAAGACAAACATCAACTGCTGAATTTGTATAAAGATTTTGCCTTGTTTTTGAATTTGGAACAGTCCTTTCGCATTTTTTTGGGATTTCAATAACAAAATACCAAGAAATTAAATACCTTAGAATTAATATATGGCCTGGCCTAATACTGGTGGCAAAGGCTGATCTGTTCTGGTAGGTTATGGAGTAAAATGTATTGAAAAGCAAACAACATATTAACGTAGTTTGTCCAAGGTTATAAAGTGTCCACGGTTATAAAGATTAGTTTTTCAAAGCTTAAAACTCAGATCTCAGGTATTTGATTGGTCAGAAACCAGCACAGAGTCAGTGTATATTGACCAATGAAATCCTAAAATTTGAAGAACAAAAATCATAAATAAAAAACATTTTCATAACCTCGAGGGTAGATATGTAAAGTTGTTACATAAACATTTTGTTGTTTGTTAATTTTACTTGATTTGTTGCTATGGAAACTAAATATGCCGCCTCTTAAGATGAAAATAGACCACATCAATTTGTACACTTACCTTTAAAAAAATATTGATACCGTAATGCTATTGAAGGACACTCCTTTAACCCTTACTACGCTTAACAATAAAACATCAACATTTTATGGGAAAATTTCAAAATAGGTACTCAATAAATACCGAAATCACCTTGCAAATACAAGAGGGAAGCGGACAGCACAAAATTTCGGAATAGTAGGTTGTGGAGTTTTGTCACGAAAAAAAATCACTTGTTCGTATAATTACTGTACTAGCCCATGGTTTAAGGGAGATAACGTTATCAAAAATTTTGTTCACAGGAACAATATCACCTTGTTCGTATAACAGCCCATGGTTTAAGGGAGACAACGTTATCAAACAGGAAGACTTCTCTCCCTTGATACGAGAGTTATATTGAGTCTAAAGTTTTTGCATAACTGATTAAATATTGGTATTTTGTAGGAAATGCAAAATATCTTTGCATTTTTCACACAAGTCTATATAACCTAATTGAGGCCCCCAAATGAAGCCAATTTTAATCAGAGTCATAATTCAAAGAACTTCCTTAAACATTAATGTTTTGGGTATTGTATTTTTGAAGATTTGTTTTAACACAATTCTATGGCGCAATTTTTTACCACTGCATGATTTGATAAACTTAAATATTTAACACAGAGTACAATCGTAGCTTTAGTGGCGGAGGAAAAACTCGGGTGCTCCTCCGTATATTAAATTATGCACAAACAGACACCGAAGTAGAACCAACGACTTTTCATGGAGGTCCAAGCTGCGAGGACATTAATAATTTTGGGCCGTCTTGTTTTACGACTAAGTTGCACCTGTGTAGAATCATTGGCTGGATAGATAGCCTCACTTTAATTACGTCACTGTCCCTATAAGATATATATTGTTTAAAGGTGCACCAACACAGTATGTCATATGACGACTTTCCAGCTTTACTGGTGGAGGAAGACCTCAGGTGCCCTTCCATGCATAATTTCAGGCACATATGGGCACCTGATTAGAACTAACAACATTTCCTAAGCTAGCTGGATAAAGTTATCAACAATAACCACCCGTCTATAGATCTACACTCTTTCAACTTTTATATAGACATGCTACTTCTTGTTGTTATTCATCCATATGGTAAAACACAATAAACACATTTTTCAATGGCAGAAATAATTTAATTTTTGTTTTTACCGTAAAAATTTATATTGATGACTTATCATGACTTATTAACAGTGATCATATGTGTCACACAAAACAATATAAATACATGTACTAAACTGTCTACAAGATTTCACTTCCTTAAAGTAACAATAAAGCATCACGACATTGATCAATAAATATGCAAAACAAAATATTAAACAAAGGGAAGCAATTCAGTCACCATTGGTCCTAAATAGTATAAAAGTAGTTGCTTCCCTTAATCCAGTGATATTTGCAGCTAATGACATGATTGGATAAAAAAAGTAATCAAAGAAAGGTGTTCCTTTAGGAGAAAGAAAAATCTCAGTAGAATTTACTGTAAACATGTAGGTTTTGCAACTAAATTATATTTAGTTTATTTCATTTTTTATTTAGCCTTTGTAGATGAAATTATTCCGTTATATTTCACAAAATGCCAATTTACACAAAAATGATGAAATCAATGAGAGGGTGACAAATATTGGGAGAAAAGAATATCCAAAGAAACATTGCAGTTAATAATGAAGAAAAATTTACAGAAATGACCTCCGCTGACCGTTCTCTTGCTAAGATGGACAATACTTACATTTTAAATGCTTTCATAATACAACAAAATCAACAATGAGCACAATCAGGTGAGCTAAAGTAATGAGTTGTATAATTAAATATAACAAAATATGTGACCTACTTTTTTTTAACAATTATTTCCACAAACCACCATTTAAATACAATGCATGACAACAACAAACTTACTCTTTAACAAGAGGGCCATGATGGCCCTAGATCGCTCACCTGAATTATCAAACTCATCCAAACAATTACCTAGACAAGCATTCTGACCAAGTATCATGACAGGTGAGTCAACAAGAGCTGTCCGTAAGACAGCGCGCTCGACTTTTTTATTGCTTGCCAATAAAAAAAGTTTTTGCAGTAAAAGGCAATACAAGAATCTCTGTATTTTTAAAGTGAACAATGGCCATGAGCATTAAGATATTTAGTGAAGAATTATTTTACTGAATTGTGTGATACCCTTGAACACTGCAGCAAAGTTTGAAATGTTTAAGTCAAAAGAGGGCTGGTAAGAAAGAAAAAAAAACCTTCTCCTGGACATGTTTGGGAATCATGATTGTAAACAAGTATTCCAACTTTCAAATTAATATCTCAAACAGTTCAGTCAAAAAGTGGACTGGTACTAAAAACTTAACCAAGATTCTAAGTCGATAAAAGGCCTTAATTTTTAAAACAAATCCTTGACAGAGTTACCTTCTCTTGCGTACAGATGGGGGTAATGATGTGAAAAAGCATTAAAAGTTTCAAAGCAATATCTCAAAGGGTTAAGACAATAAGTGGATTTTACCCATATTCAATGTATTTTCTAAGTCAAAAAGGGGCATAATTCTGTCAAAAACCTTGACAGAGTTATGTCCTCTTGTCTGTTGATGAAGGTCGTGATGGTAAACAAGTATGGTCAGTTTCAAAGCAATACCTCCAATGGTTTTGAAATAAAGTGAGGTGGTACAAAAAACTTAACCAAGCTCAATACACTTTCTAAGTCAAAAAAGGGCCATAATTCTGTCAAAAACCTTGACAGAGTTATGTACTCTGGTCTGTAGATGGAGGTTATGATGGTGAACAAGTATGGTAAGTTTCAAAGCCATACTTGTAATACTTCTGAAATAAAGTGGGGTGGTACGAAAAACTTAACCAAGGTGTGACGCCGACGCCGGGGCGAGTAGGATAGCTCCCCTTTTCATAGAAAAGTCGAGCTAAAAATGTGACCACTACAGTGTTAACAAGGATTATCCATATTTGAGCAGTGTGACCTAGTTTTTTACCCAGGTGACACATATTCAAACTTGACCTAGAAATCATCAAAACAAACTTTCAGACCAATTTCCAGGATACTTGGATCAAAACAGTAGCAACTAGAGTGTTAACAAGATTTTTCTATTTTTAGCTCCGGTGACCTAGTTTCACATGCGATTTCGAACTCATCCAAGCAATTACCTAGACAAGCATTCTGACCAAGTTTGATGATAATGGAGTCGAAAATGTGACCACTAGAATGTTAACAAGGTTTTTCCATATTTGGGCGGTGTGTGACCTAGTTTTTCATCCAAGATGACCCATGTTCGATCTTGACTTAGAAATCATCAAAACAAACTTTCAGACCAATTAACAGAATATTTGGATCACAACAGTAGCCACTAGAGTGTTAACAAGATTTTTCTATTTTTAGCTCCTGTGACCTAGTTTTTCATCCGAGATGTCCCATGTTCGATTTATTCCCAGCAATGACCTAGACAAGTTTCCTGACCAAGTTTGATGACAATTGAGTCAAAATTGTGACCACTAGAGTGTTAACAAGGTTTTTCTATTTTTAGCTCCTGTGACCTAGTTTTTCATCCGAGATGACCATGTTCGAACTCATCCGAGTTATTACCTAGACAAGCATCTTGATCAAGTTTGATGATGATTGATGCAAAAATGTGACCGCTAAAGTGTTAACAAGGTTTTTCTATTTTTAGCTCCGGTGACCTACTTTTTCATCCGAGATGACCCATGTTCGAACTCATCCAAGCTATCAACTAGATAAGCATCCTGACCAAGTTTGATGATGATTGATGCAAAAATGTGACCGCTAGAGTGTTAACAAGGTTTTTCTATTTATAGCTCCGGTGACCTAGTTTTTCATCCGAGATGACCCATATTCGAACTCATCCGAGCTATTATCTAAACAAGCATCCTGACAAAGTTTGATGATGATTGGGTCAAAAATGTGACCACTAGAGTGGTCACAAGTTTTTCTATTTTTAGCTCCTGTGACCTAGTTTTTCATCAGAGATGACCCATGTTCGAACTCATCCAAGCAATTGACTAGACAAGCATTCTGACCAAGTTTGATGATGATTGGTTCAAAAATGTGACCACTAGAGTGTTCACAAGGTTTTTCTATTTATAGCTCCTGTGACCTACTTTTTCATCCGAGATGACCCATGTTCGAACTCATCCGAGCTATCACCTAGACAAACATCCTGACCAAGTTTGATGAAGATTGGGTCAAAAATGTGACCTCTAGAGTGTTCACAAGGTTTTTCTATTTTTTAGCTCTTGTGACCTAGTTTTTCATCTGAGATGACCCATGTTCGAACTCATCCGAGCTTTCAACTAGATAAGCATCCTGACCAAGTTTGATGATGATTGAGGCAAAAATGCGACCGCTAGAGTGTTCACAAGCAATTGTGGACGGCCGGACGGACGACGGACATTCATCGATCCTAAAAGCTCACCCTGAGCAAGCTCAGGTGAGCTAAAAAGTAAATCTTATATACTAGTTTGTCAAGTTTTGTTTTATTTTCCAATTGTTAATTGCAAGTGTTTCGGGCTCAATTTCATAAACCTAAAGTGCAAAGCATGATCTGACTGAATGGTTATGCATCAATTAATTTTGTAATGTTCATTAAAAACAAACACGGAAAAAAAGAGCTTATAGTGGTATAACAAACGGACGGAGGGTCACTCTAATGGCAGTTTGATTTACTTATATACTAACAGGGGTACATTTAGGATCTTAATCAAGCTAAAATAAATACATGTTGTAAGAGTATAGTGAAAGATGCATGTGTATTTAAAGATTGGACTTAAGCCATCTCTGATTCATGGCCAATTTGCTTGCCTCGTTCTTTAATCTACAGAAATTGTCATACAGACTTATCCTTCTTGTAACTTACGAAATGTTCATTGTTTTTTAACGGATATTTAATGCAAAATACAGAAACTGGGCAGACCAAATTATAAAGCCAATATGCCCGAGTATAAAGATAGGCGTATATATTTGCGACAGAGGCTTGTTAATATTGCCACTTCCTACACGAGTTTAAGATCGCACCTTTCACTAAGTAAGACTAATAAAAATACCTTGTAATTAACAAATGAAGGTAACAAAATTAGTAGTAAGAAAAACAAGAGGGCCATGATGGCCCTGAGGTCGCTCACCTGTATATAGGCCCCCCCACCCCCGGGCCAATTTTTACCCAAGGGCTTTTATTTGTTTATTTGAACAGACTTGGTAGACACCCATAAGAAGATGTTTCATGCTAAACATCTAAGTTCTAGCTCATTGGCTTTTTTAAAAGAAGATTTTTAAAGTTTTTACTATACACATATAGTTAAAAACAATGACACCCCTGGGGCAGGGCCAGTTTTGACCCCCGGGCGTTTATTTTAACAAACTTTGTAGATATTTACTTTAAGATGTTTCATGCTTAATATCTAAACTCTAGCTATTTGGGTTTTTCCAAAGAAGATTTTTAAGTTTTTGCTATACACATATAAGGAAAATCAATGACCCCCCCCCCCCCGGGCGGGGCCAGTTTTGACCCCAGGGCTTTTATTTGAACAAACTTGGTAGACACCCATTAGAACATGTTTCATGCTAAATATCTTAGCTCTAGCTCTTTGAGTTCTTTAAAAGAAGATTTTTTAAGTTTTTACTATATGCATATAGGGAAAATCAATGACCCCTGGGGCGGGGCCAATTTTGACCCCAGGGCTTTCATTTGAACAAACTTGGCAGACACTCATTAGAGGATGTTTCATGCTAAATATCTTAGCTCTAGCTCTTTGGGTTCTTTAAAAGAAGATTTTTTAAGTTTTTACTATATGCATATAGGGAAAATCTATGACCCCTGGGGGTGGGTCAATTTTGACCCCAGGGCTTTTATTTGAACAAACTTGGTAGACATTCACTAGAAGATGTTTCATGCCAAATATCTAAGCTCTAGCTCTTATGGTTCTTTAAAAGAAGATTTTTTAAGTTTTTACTATACACATATAGGGAAAATCAATGACCCCGGGGCGGGGCCAATTTTGACCCAGGGCTTTAATTTGAACAAACTTGGTAGACACTCACTAGAAGATGTTTCATGCTTAATATCTTAGCTCTAGCTCTTTGGGTTCTTTAAAAGAAGATTTTTAAGTTTTTACTATATGCATTTAGGGAAAATCAATGACCCCCTGGGGCGGGGCCAGTTTTGACCCCAGGGTTTTTATTTGAACAAACTTGGTAGACATTCACTAGAAGATGTTTCATGCCAAATATCTAAGCTCTAGCTCTTATGATTCTTTAAAAGAAGATTTTTAAGTTTTTACTATATGCATATAGGGAAAATCAATGACCCCCCCCCCCCCCGGGCGGGGCCAATTTTGACCCCAGGGCTTTTATTTGAACAAACTTGGTAGACACTCACTAGAAGATGTTTCATGCCAAATATCTAAGCTCTAGCTCTTATGGTTTTTTAAAAGAAGATATTTAAAGTTTTTTCTTTTGGTTGCCATGGCAACCAAAGTTCTGCATGGAATTAAATTCTTTGAACAATTTTTAAAGGTGACCACCAAAGGAACATTCCTGTGAAGTTTGGATGAAATTGGCTCAGTGGTTTATGAGGAGATGTCATTTAAAGCAAAAGTTTACGGACGGACGGACGCCGGACGAAAAGCGATCACAAAAGCTCACCTTGTCACTTTGTGACAGGTGAGCTAAAAACAGAAACTATCTATCACAGAAGCACACACTTCATTTTTGAAGAAAAAAAACAACAACAACAACACTGTGTTAATTTTGTTGTATTTTTAGACAACAAAGCTAGAATTTCAACCTTAAACAACGACAACAATTGAAAAACATTTTGTTCATCAAACATAAATGCAAAACAATGTGATTTAACCTTTATATGACATGGTTACACTAAGTTTTAACCACATTAAATATAACAAAAGTATACAAATCAGAATCTACCCTGTACTAATTTAATTTAGAATAATTACAAAAAACATTGTATAATGTATTCTTTAAGGTCTCATAGACTGAATTAAACCATTGTTGTGAAAAAGTAAACAGTTTTAAAGAAGAGAAATGGTAAAAATGACACAATTACAAAATGTTAGAATAATTTGACTTACAAGACAGTGGTTCATATAAAGTATCATGTCTGAATTCAGTGTTTAGACCAAAACTTTGACATTTCAAAGAAAAACGTCCTAACTTATGACTCCTGTTTCACGACTTTTAATTTCTGAATAGCAATACAGATGAGCAGTAACAGATTGCTAAACAACAACATATATCATTGTATTTTTTAACTTTACTCAGGAAAATAAATATAACTATAGTCTATAGACCTTGAAACATTTATTAAGATCATATAAAGGCATGCTGTTAAGTGGAACAAATTATCTAACTTCTGCTCAGGTACTAACTTGTTACCATGGATAATTAATTATTCAGCCATTTGTTTATAATTTTATGAAGACAGTTACTTTTTGGAAGTCTAAAAATTCTGAATTAATGAGTAACCATGATTTTTTCCCACAAAAAATGATCTTTACAAACTTTTTAGTTGGTAACATGGATTCAAAGTCCAATAACTAAACAAATTCTTCTCAAAGATTTATACTTCAATTATTTTTGTAAATGTTCATAAAATACTACAGTATTCTTTTCAATCCAAATAATAAATTATAAAAGATTGAAAAAAATCTTGTTGAATTTTAACAAATCAGCATAAAAAAAGTGGCCTGAAAGTAGTTCAGAAAGATACTTAAAATAAAGATATCCAAATATTTTTAACGCTGAAATCAATTCAATATATATACTACAGAAATGGACAAAAATGTGATACTAAAATGACTTCATGAATAGGATACTAATAACAGTAAACATATTGTGTTCTAAAAACTATGACAAGAGCGATCAGTGATCACATGTGTCCTCTGTTGATAGCCAATTAAGCAGTTGTATTGAGGGGTGATTGGACAGGTTGTTCACTATATTGCATGGCTACTTTGTAGCATATGGCAGCTACTGCGTAGAAGAAGAAACACCAAAATGCTTTTTTATTCAAGGGCTATAACTCGGTCAGAAAAATTGTGTAATATGTGCAAGTACTTGAAGTATCAATCATTTATGTAAAGTTTAATTCAAATTGCATTAGTGGTATAAGAGAAGTAGTCAGAACAGACTTAAAATTATATAAGGGCCATAACTCTGAAAAAGGCTGACAACTTGGTACTGATCATTCCTGAAAAGTTTAGATGAAATTGCACAAGTAATTTTTGAGGAGTAGTCCGGACAAATTCTGTGACAGACGGACAACAGAGAAGTGATCCCTATATGTAGCCGCTACTCTGTAACAGCAACACAAAAATCATTGTTAGAAGGAAAAAATGAAAAGCTGTATGAAACTGGCTGGATAAAGCATATCTGTAACAAATACATTAATATAATAAAGTTCAGCAATGAGTATATAAATGAGTTGATTAATTTTTTTGTTTGTTTTCATAAATGTAAACAATGACGCAGAGATCTTCAGTTTTTTTAAATGATGATGATGATGATAATGATGATGATGATGACTGATCCACAAAACTTTATATATATATATTTCTTTAAAACAATGACTATTATTATTTACATTATAAAACAACAAGCATGTACAGGCAATTATTTACAATAAAAGATTTAATCGTCATGGATCTCGATGAATCTTCTACACTTGCTTTAGTAGCTTTAAAATTTTCAACAGGCACTTAGAAAGCCTATATAATATATTTAATTTTTGAACGAAATTTTCCTTTTCTCCCATATATCTTCATGTAGCATTGTCTGTCAAACAATAAAAATATATATGAAGTATGATTTAATAACATTAAACTGTCCATAAAGAAAACTTAATAGTTTTTAAATTAAATAAAGAAGATAAAAAAAAAAAAATCTAGCCCCAAAATACTTCATGAAAACTTTAGAATATTTAATAACCATTTATTAGCTTTTTTAACACATTAAGTACTTTTTATTCTAATAATATTGTTCTGTTACCAATTAAGCAAGTCACTTAATGAAATAACATCAATGTGTTAACATCACCACAGACCCTGTACAGGTCATATAACCCTAACCCCTTTCTAGCTTTACCAGGAGGAACACCTTTGGTGCCCTCCTTGTCCAATGTTTCAGGCACAAGCCAGCACTAGTATTGAACCACTTTGCTTCGGTGAGTAGCACTAATTAATTTCTTAAGTAACAAAAAAGAAGAAGAAAAAGAAAGAAAAATAATAATTACATAGCATAAACCAGTTTTTCAAATAGAACACTGCTTAAACTAACATTTTACATGTAGGTGGTTCATAAAAATCCATGATTATCAAATCTTATATACGTATATATACATTATTTCCCTCAGCGTCTTTACTTTTTTTATGTATATACATACTAATACAATATTCATTTGAAAACAAGTACAATGTATTTATAACAGAGTTGAAAGTTCATACTACAAAACTTATTTAATTTATATCTTGGCAAAAATCACACACACACAAAAAATTATGCACATCTTTGTTGTTTTAATTCATGTCTAAAAACAAAAACTTAACAAACTGTATCATATACAATCACAGGGTTACAGTACAAATAACTTTTCAAGTTTTAGTGCCATTTGTAAATCATAAATAATATACAAACAAAAAACAAGCCCTAACAAAGGACTTGACCCTTATGTGGTAGTTTAGACTTAATGCTTCTTTGTAAAGCTATACAGTAATATTTCTTTATCTATTTAAGAAAAAAAAGCAAGTTCAAGGCATAACAGAATAAAAATATAGACTGAAAGATGAAGTAAACATTATTTTTAGCAATTTATTCTAGATAGTAGATATCATACTATATTTTCTATACTTTTAGCTGCCATATCAGAAAGAGACTTATTAACATTCTTAAAAATACACTTGTTTCCAGTGTGCAATTTCCTCAGTTTACTTTCACATGCATTCTAAAAACTGACTCTGATCTTTGATTTCAGGTACTAAAACATTCAAGACCGGACAAAATCTGTGTTCAGCACTGCAACAGCCCAAGAACACTAAAAGAGTACAACTTCATTGGAACATTTCTCCATTCTTTTTATTTACTTAATGGCACTTAAAGCGGCTTTCAGCTTTTCTAAAGGTTAAATATGTTAATTTAAGATAAATTGTTTCATATAACTGTCAAATCAAGAGTTAAGGTGAAAAATGAAATTTGCTTTTGATAAATACGTAAACGAAGAGGAAACCCTCGATACCTCTAATCTACCAGTTCTCTATTTGAAAATTTGCAAAGCGAAAAATTTGTTTCCAGATCATCTATAGTCATTGATGTGTTATAAATAGCTATTTTGAAGAAGGCCTTACAGTGATATGATGCACTTTTCCAAGATTACTGAAATACTTAGTTGGAAACAACACATATATGGTCTGTTATTGCAACAAAAAATAAAAGCTGAAGGTGGCTCTAAGAAATCATTTAAATTTGTTTTACTTTGAACACTTATAACAACTATCAGAGCAAACTCTTGAAAAATGGCAAAAATATTACATCAAGTGCGTCAGTAGTTTTCAGTCAAATGCTCAAAAATATGAATTTCAAACAGCCTTTTTTATTATCAACTATAGGTATTTTTTTGTGTATAAATAATCTTTTCTCTTCACAAAAATCTCTTATTAAAAATCATTAATAAAAACAAGAAACACTCAACTTGATTATTTCATCATATCTATATAGGACTTATCATACAAATGCTGCTACCTTTTAACTATTCATTCATTTACAATGTAGTACAGTTTATAGAAGAACTCAATTTCATGATTTAAAAAAAAAAGAATAAAAAATAAATAAATACAATGACGATGTATGTACACTTATGTATATCTGAAATATCTATGACGGCTGCATTAATTCAAAGATGTTCTTGATTCCGGCTTTAATGGGACAGTCTGCATCATCCAGGCATTCTGATGTTTCAATCTTATCTTTTAAACTATTTTCCACAATTTGTTCACTTAAAGTTGCCTTTTTCTCTGATTTGTTCAAGGATTTACGTTGATTTTTAATTTCACTTTCTTTGCCTTTTGTTAAAACATGATTCTGAGACTCTTCACTTGTGTTATTTATTAGTCCATTTTCATTTTCTGTTCCATTGTTTTTGACTAGGTTGTCACTAAGGTTAAGTCCAGAGAGAAAACGCTTTTTAGAATTTGCTGCACGTGGTTTTCGACCAGCTTTACCTTTAACCTTAGTTCTTGTTTTAGTTTCACATACAAATGTTGAATTTTGACTATTTTGCAACTTTTCCTGCACAAATAATGTTCTTTTCTCATCGGCACTTCTTTTACGCAACCGACAATCCCTTGGCCTTCGAGTACGCTGAGCCATCTCAGTTTGTCTTGCCATTTTCTTTAATGAACTTATACTATTTAACACTTCCTCCGCTTTCTTCCAAGTATCTTCAGTTTTATCTTCTTCAATATTAAACACATCCTTCTTTAATGATTCTCGCTGCAATTTAATTTCTTGTTCAAATAAATCAGAGCACTTAACAAACAACGATTCTCTTTCTTCTGTTTTAATATCATTTTTCAGCCCAAAAAAATTCACTTTCACTGTATCATCTTCTTTTATAATTGGCGCATCAACAATATTCAGTCCACTTAGAGGATCATGATGCCAATTTTCTGAAATTTCTTCTTCCATTATTTCATTTTCTGATTCTAAATCCACTGGAATTTCTTTTGAGTTAGCCTCAATCATTAAATCAAGCAAAAACTCTAAATTATCAACATTTCTGTAAAAATAATTTTTGAAGTCTAGTTTTGGAAAGAAACACTTTGTCAATTTAATGATTTGGTTTTGAAGCCTTTGTAAACAGTTCTTTGGACTCCGACACAACGAGACTCTAGCTGCGTTGAGATCTAAAGTTATAGTGATTTCATTTTGAACCCCTGGATCAGAATCAACTTCAGTTGAGTAATATTCTACATTATCAAATGGCTGAGAGTGACCAATAACATGATGAGGTAAAGAATTTATATTCATAATGTCAATTTGACTTGTGGCACTGTAATGAGCAGGTGTTATTGGTACTGTAACAGATTCCTGAGTGTAGGCCAAAGATGAATCATGGACATTTGATGGATGGGAGATAACATTTTCAAAAACACTTTCTACCATAGGCTCATCATTGTCTGTTAGCGTGTTATTTTCAAACTTTAACCTGGTACTGCTTGATGTTGAAGCCGCCAATGAAGTTTCATTGAAAATTGAAGAGTGCTGCCATATCATCCCTGCCTCTAATTCTTTCCCAGCAGTATTATGTTCATCATTGTCCTCATCCATCTGAACTGAGCTGGTACCGAGATCAACATGAGACTGTGACTGATGATTCACTGTTTGAACGAGACTAGCATCAGTTGGGCTTCTGTCATCGCCACTTGTGTTAACAAGGTCAATTTCACTAGCCCTTGTTGCCAAACCTGAGGCTGCAAAAGGCATTTCTATATTACTAACAGGACATAATTCAAACTGACTCTCCACATCTTTTTTCAAGTAAGCTACTGAATGAGGTAATGAACTACACTGTACTTCTTTATCTCCCAATCCACTGAGAACATCATCAATAAGCAACTCAAACTCTTCAGTTCCAATGCTTGAATGAGAAATCATTTCAGCACACTCTGGGAAGAGAGTAAGAAACAATGTGTGAATTTTTTCCTGTAACTGCAGTAACTTAAGGGTACTTCTAACAAACTGCCTATGTTTTCTAGGCAATTTATATGCATCTTTATCAGGACCAGAGAGCTGATCCCCACTATGCTCCCTGAACCTTTTCCTTGGTGATCCTATACAACATGGGCAACAACTCTTCCTACCCTTTTTAGTCCTTTTACTTCTTGAACTTTGAGATTCAGTTTCTTGTTTATCAGTTTCACTACATTTACTTTCATTATCAGTATCTGAACTCTCACTTCCATTACATGTTCTCCTTTTCACACTACAAATTCTAGACTGGCGCCTTTTTTGGGGAGCTTTTACAAAGTCATCATCTGAATCATTGAAGGGATTGAAATCTGGATCTGACCCCGGATGACTGCTCAACATGTCAATAGTTTCTGAATCAGAACTTTCCTCTGAATATTCATAATCACTATTTACTTTTCTTTTCGCTGATTTGAATTTTCCAACAGTTCGTTTTGCAGTTTGCCTCCTTCTGTATGGAGGCCCTTTTCCAGCTTTTTCACACTCAACAGGTTTTGCTTTAGCACATTCTTTTACTTGTGATGTTTTGAAATTAATCTCATGCTTTGGTTGAAGACTAGATAAATTTTTCACTTGGAACACATCATCTACATCAAGAGAATTTGTGTCATCATCTTCTGACACATCAATCTTTTTATTGATCTCTGCTAAATTCACACTTAAATCTGCCATCACATCAACAGCAGTGTCCGTTTCAGTCTTTTGACTGTTACTTTTAGAAGCAGTGTCACCAAAAATTGTAAGCCATGATAAACTGTCAGACTTTACTATTTTCGGTTCTGGTATTGTCTCTTTCTTTTTAATTTCAGTTTCTGATTCTTTCTCCAACTTTGTACTTGATGCCTTTTTTTCATAAGAAATTTTGGATTTACTCAGACACTTCTTTTTCATTTTTTTGGGAGGTTTTTTACTTTTTATTTCAACAATGTCATCCTCATTACATACTTTATCTTCAGTTTTGTCATTAAAATCTGTCTTGCTATCTTTTTCACTGATTTTATTTTTATTCACCTTATTATTCTTAATTCCAGTATTTCTAGCTTTATTATCTGTTTTGCTTTTAATTTCTTTATTGCCATGCTTTATTTCATTTTCATTCTTGTCTTCAATGTTGTCCACATTAATGCTTACTTTGTCAACATCGTTAGCCTCACTGACTTTCTTGTCTTCCCTAGTAGTTTCACTGTTTTCCTCTAGTTTTTTCTTTTCTAATTTGCTTCCACTCATAGTGCTAGAAATGAAGGATAAGAACTGCTGTTGGTACAAATCAAATGAAACAGCTGATTTTTGTGATTTTTCTAAAGGTTTGCTAACCTTTTCTTCTTCAATTTCACCTGAAAGGTTCAACAGACTGTCCTCTTCATCAAAACCAATAGTGCACAATTTACTTACAGGTGTCTTAATTTGCGTAATTTTTGTTTCTAAAGACTCATTTGCATTAACATTGGGTTCATTTACTTCTTTGTTTGGCCCACTTTGTTTGGTCTGCATGTCACTTTTATTCAGAATTTCACCCATATTAGCATATCTGTCATTCCTTTCAATTTCATCACTCAGCAAATTTTCTGTTAAACTATGGCCAGGAACAGACATTTGTGTTTTAAAACAAGATTTCTTCACACTATTTTCTGAGTTCCCATCAACTGACAATGTTCTTTTCTTGAACAAAGGCTTCTTATTTTGCACAGTTTTCTCATCACTTGCAACAAGATGACCTTTTGATTCTTGTAAACTTAATGAAGATGAAGAATTTGTGTTACATATAGTAGAAGATTTCTTGCTCTTAAATAAAGGTTTTTTCCTACTTTGCTTACTACACTCATCTGAAATATATGTAGAGGAGACAGTCTTGTCTAATTCCACACATGTGTCATTTTCATTAACAACAGGAGATTCTTTACATTCAACTTTACCAAGAACAGTTTTGTCTGAAGCACTATCATTCAATGAATTATTTGAGCTTTCTTTGTTTCCATTAATCTGTTTATCATTATCCAAATCATCTTTTACATCATCATTACTATCGTTTTTCACTGTGGCACTTTCTGATTTTGATGACTCAGCACTCTTTGATACATCATGTTTCTGTGGGGATTCTTTCAGACCTGGTTTTCCTTTTTCAGGTGATGCCATCATTTCATTTCCACCTTTAAGAGGTGATTTTGACAGATCCTTTGGTCTTAATTTCAGTTTCAGTCTACTCTTTCCCATTTCAGGACTGTTTTGATTTTTATCAAATGTTATAATCATTATATCACTGTCTTCACCATCACTTTTTTTTTGTTCTAGACGCTCTTGGACAACTTTGTCATCCTCACATTTATCTTGTTCACTAATGTATTCTAATTTTGAATTTGTCTGATGGTCTGAACATACAGTAGGCGAGGTATCACTAGCCTCAGAGGAGAGTAAATTAGTCTTTACAGGAGATATTGGCATTTCAAATGGTGAATGAGGATTTGACACCGTGCATCTGCATTTTCCAGGTGACCTTGTATTATTATTTGCCTCCATTATAATTCCACCACACTTGTGACATATGCTATGCTCTGACTTACTTAAAGCTTCTGTTAGTGGTGAATCAAAGGACAACAACGAATCTTCAGTATTGAAATATGTTGGAGAGTTATCTTCCATAACAACTGAACGTACAGAGTTACCGTTACTTCTATTGCACGATGAACTACTTAACACTTCAATACCAGAATCATTTACATTATTCATTCCATTATCACTCTCCTTGTCATATGCTGGTAACAATTCAAGAATATCAGACTCCTCACCTGAAACTTCACCTTTCACTTTCACGCTGTTAACTGGGATATCTAAATATTTGGATGCATTGTATGCACAAGCTTCTTCTAAAGTTGATTCAATTCTGGCAGGTTTTTGTGGGGACAATTTCAGTTTTAGTATATCATTTGGTCTATCTCTTGGGCTTGCTAATACCTTCCATATTCCAATATCATCAAAGACATTATCTCTTTTCTTTATTTTCACAGCTGGAAGCTGCTCTGCAAGTAATTTACCACTTTTATCTTTGGTGATTACAATACCATTTCTTACTTTAGATTCAACATCATCCTTAGATGTAAGAGGACTTTGACTTTCAATTCCAAGATTTTCCATTGAATCAATGTCTGTTCGACTAGATGTTCTTTTCTCTAATTTCAGACTTGATCTACTGTCACTTTTTTCTAGTACTTTATATGTATCTCCTCTACTGGGACTTACAGTCAGATCAGGACAGGCTTTTATTGTCAACTTTAATTCACTTTTCTGTTCTCCAAGTTTATATTCAGTGTTCATGAGGCCATTCATGTTTTCAGTTTGTTTTGTTTTACTGCCAACTTGCTTTGATTTACTATCACGATTTCTTTTATCTGTCACATTAACCATTCCTTTTTTAATTGATAGAATTATTCCTTTCTTTTCTTGTCGTTTCTCCTCTTTTCTGTGCTTCTTTTTAGCTTTTTTCTTTGAAGGTTTCTTTTTACTTTCACAGGAATTGGGAGATTTTTTAGAAGGAGATATTATTGTCATACTTTTCCCAAGAGTTATCTTAAGAAGAATTTTTGAATCATCATTATTCTCTTCACCTTGCTCTTTATACCTGGATTTCTTCTGCTTTCTTTTTAAACTCTGCTGACATTGTAGGCGTCTTGCAGTAACCACTTTAGGGTGCTGTTCATATATATGATTTGCAAGTGAGAGAATCCGTAAAAATGTGGCAGAACAAACATGGCACTTGTACACCCGTTTATGACGAGACTGACATTTATGAAGATCTAGATGACCCTGTCTGAGAAACCTTGTCCGACAAATGGGGCAGTGATATCGCCGGTGATCAATGTGACTTCTTTGATGTCTCTGGAGTTGATTTAGTACTGGAAATGACTGAAAAAACAACAACAAATGGTTAATTTTGTAATTCAGAAACATATCTGTACAAAGAAATTCTGATTTATTTTAAAATAAGTTTGGCTCTTAGATACAAGCAAGTTACACATACCCAATTAGATACCCCCAATGTCCTCAGAATTTTGCAGCTAACT